CACAGTTTAAAGCTGTCACTAGAGAAGCTACTTCCTCAATACACAGGTTAAAGCTGTCACTAGAGAAGCTACTTCCTTGATACACAGATTAAAGTTGTGAATTTGCAAGCTATCTTTTAGTAAACAGATTTTGTATTATAGACCCTGAAATATACCGTTACAATCAAGTAATCAGCAAAACTAGAAACAGTTGATACATTTAACCTTTGTAACTCTAAACAACTAGCAGACTTAACCTTTATTACTCTAAACAATAAACCCATAAGACTATGTATCTCATACCTAACTTCATTACGTATTACATACCTAGCTTTACAACATTACCAGACATCACATGCGAGGAAGAAAATATAGCTAGCCCGTGGATGCATCTTAAAAATGACTGTGACATCCTACTAGTCGGTCAGACAAGAGTAATCTAAGAGTTGGCGTTGGGTGATGTTTACCATTTTCCTTCCCTCTAGTCTATAAGCTTAAAATTTTGTGCGTTAATACAACTTACATCTTTGTGTAGCTTTAATCAAACAAACTATTTACACAATGTCCTTTTACAGTTGCTTTTAAAGAACGAGAAAGTAAAGACCATATTGTGGACCCTCACTAGGAAACAATTTCAATGTAAAATTCCCAGTGTGTTGCTGTAAAATATATAAATTTATCATTTTTACAGGAAACCACCCTCAGTCGGCAGTGTTCCTTGGCTCAGTTATTCCAAAGAGGATCATTATTACGTAGACCTGAATGACCATAAGTTTTATGTCAGAAAAGGACCTCGTGAAGAAAACTGCAAATTTTGGAAAACAACTTTATAATATTATCTTCAGTCCTGTTTTGTCACGAAGAATTGATTACCCTTTATTTCTTCCAGATCAATCTGGAATATCCCTGTTAGTTTCAGATCAATCTGGAATATCCCTGTTAGTTTCAGATCAATCTGGAATATCCCTGTTAGTTTCAGATCAATCTGGAATATCCCTGTTAGTTTCAGATCAATCTGGAACATCCCTGCTAGTTTCAGATCAGTCTTTTGCATAAGTTTGATGTAGTTTAAATCTTGACAATTTAAATATATTTGCAAGTGAATTAAATACAGTGTTACATCAGGTGTTTTAATACGTAATATCTAGTTATCTTTATCAGGAGACGAGGGTGTGTTACCACGTAGCTTCTCGGCAGATGAGCGTGGTAATGTCGTAGTTCTCTTTGTTGGGTGGAGCCACACGTGGTTAGGGACATCGTGGTTTCGAACCTTATCGCCGAATGCTTGTCTGTTTCAGCCATGGGGGGGGGGCGTTATAATGTGACAATCAATCCACTATTGATTGGTAAAAGAGTAGCCCAAGAGTTGGCGGTTGGTAGCTTTAATTTGTTGCCTTCCATCTAGTCTGTCACTTCAGATAGCTGTCGAGTGTGTTATTATGTAGTATTTTGTGAGATGAATGGTGTAAAGTCAGAGTTCTGTTTTATCGGGAGACGAAGGTAATTATCACGAGCAATCCATCAGAAAAGAAACCACCCTTTATTTTCTCTATAACATAAAAATGCACGGATTTTACGAGACGCATGAATAACAACTATCGTGTTTTGAAACCAATGTTCCTTCATGGCGAAACCAACTAGCAACAAATTACTGCAAGCCTATCGAAAAGTAAAAAAAAACGCAAAAAAATGATTACTTAGATTTGTTAATCCATTTATATACAGTATGTTAGATAAAGAGAAGGCCAATTTATGAGTTACTGTGAACTCCTTTGGATTAAAATAAAAATCTTATTTTTTGTTTTACACTAACGTAAGATTCACAATCAAAAATGCGATTGTTTTACGTCTACGGGTTGGAGATGACGTTTCGAATTAATGAGCTCGTAGCTTGAAACGCCCACAAACTGCTGAAGGTAGATGAAGCCCATTACATTATCGGAAACGAATTTTTCTTCTGTGTTTTCGTGCTTTAATAGAAGTTCTGTTTGTTTAGGGTAGTCGACCCTAATAGACTAGATGGAAGGTAGCTATAGCGAACAGCACCAACCACCAACTCTTGGGTTACCCATATCTGGCAGAACAGTAGGATTTGACTGTTACTCTTACAACACACTCATGGCCCGATATATTTCGGTGATCTCTGGTGTGAAAGTGTTATTATTTTGGTTTATAATGTCTGAATCCAGCGTAGAACAACAAAAATTGGGTTGAATTCACACAAAATATGCAGTAAAACTCTGTAAAAAAAAATGTTTCTATCAAAATACATGACAAATTTAAATGGGACGTAAACCCTCAGGTTCACAGACCGTCACACTAACAGCGATATAAGAAATAGTATAGTATAATTAACTGATTAACTTCTTCGGGTTAACATATCAAAGGTTTATAAATATTTTATTGAGAATAAACATCGTAGCCACACAAAATTACGAAGTAAAAAATATAATGCTTACAATAACCATCATAAGATATATGTATCGTTACACACGTAAGATATCAGTACTAAGATCACTTAGGAAATACTTTAAACTTCAGCAAAACGAAAAGTAATTTGTTGAAGCTTTAATTTGAAGTCAGCACTTATCAAACGATGATAATTTTATAAAGTAATTTGTTGAAGCTTTAATTTGAAGTCAGCACTTATCAAACAATGATAATTTTATAAAGTAATTTGTTGAAGCTTTAATTTGAAGTCAGCACTTATCAAACAATGATAATTCTATAAAGTAATTTGTTGAAGCTTTAATTTGAAGTCAGCACTTATCAAACGATGATAATTTTATAAAGTAACTTGTTGAAGC